AGGACGGCGCCTGTTTACAGTCCCCGTCACTATACTGGGGAAATGAGATGATTGTGGCTACAACAAGTAAAAGACTTAAGGTCAGTGGAAGGCGTCAGTATTAATATTGGATAAAAATAGAGAACAGGTTGATTCTCCGAATGCAACCCCCTCCCATCCACAAACGCACACAGGGAGCAATGTTTTACAAAGGCACAGAGAAAATCTTTTAATGCAAAAACTGGCCTTTCCCTTATTTCAAAGAGGAAATAAAGAAACAGTTCAGCTGGCCATTGCAATGATATGATGACCAGTAAAGTTTGAAAGGAAGACAAAAGGTAAGAGCACTGAGCAAAAAGGACACAGTCCTTTATCAAGCCTTAATTCGTCTACTGCTTGTTTCACATGTGACATTCCCTTGTGTGGGATGGATATAGAAAACAGGCAAAATGATCCAGTAATTCTTGTTGCACAACAGATTTTGGAAAGAGTTTGTAAAAATTCTTACAAGTCACCGTCACTTTCAGAGAGCTCAATCGTTTACCAGGAAAAACCCTTCTTCTACCTACTCACAAGCCACTCCCACTTCATTTAGCAGAGGACACGTCATTTTAAATAATGGGAGAGAGAATGAGATAAAGCCTGGAAATATTTTTTTTCTGTAGAGTAGAATAAATACAAAGATGAAGTGGTGAAGAGTGGTTAGACACTATGTACGTTAGACTGGATTTCCTGTGGGTATGTCCTAAAGAGATCTGTAGAAATGGCATGGCTACACTGCCTGTGTGGCTACTGGGAAATGTTTGAATGTGAAGTATGTGACAGAGACACTGACCACTTCAGTGATGTTTCTCAAATAAGAATAAACAGCCCGGTGTAATTTTGCTTCTATAAAAACACAGTAATATAGGCTCTTCTCAGATTAATGATCCCAATATAATAAATTGAGACAATTAGGATTTAACCCTGATGCACCCTGAGGCTTATTTTAAAATTACTCATTACTTTGCCAATTATTTGGTTATATTCCTGTCCAATAAGAAACCAAACAACTGTTTTTCAGGCAGCACAGCCTGAACCCTCCAAGGACACCACACCTAAACACACTCTTATGGGTCTTTCACGTCAGACGAACACTCCTTATTTAAAGGAGATTTGAAGGTGTATGTGTAATACCTGCTCGCACCAAAGGTCTCGGAATTCCTTCAGGACCTCTAACACAACAGGTGGACCTACTGTTTAGGCAATTGCCACTCGCCGTGGCGGAAGATCCATCCCACCTGCACACATTCAGCTCGGGGCTATTTAAGATCCACCTGTGCATTTCTAGGAAGCTCAGTCACAATAATTCATTGTGTGTCTTGGTGTTCTTATTGTGCTTACCTACTGTGCTCTGACAGTGTTTGCTTGTGTGTCTGCGATTCTTTGATTACTGCTTGTTGGGTTTTCCTGGCCTTGGACTTGCTTGAGCTAATTACAGATCTCCCTTTGGTACCTTTGCCTGCGTCCTCTGGTTTGCCTGCCTTTGGATTATGGTTCTACACAGTGTGTTGTTTCCATCGGTATCTCGCTGCCTTGTTACTGCTCACCTGCTGCTGTGTGCTTTTCACCTGGCTGACTGCTTACCTTTGCCTGCTTCTGGATCCAGCCTCTAGCCTCCAATCACTGCACTGTATTGATATTTAAAAAGCTAGTTTTGTGGAGACTATGCTGATTTTTTTGTAAGTACTGTATGCTGTGTGTTGCAGAGGTACTGGGAGAGAGAGAACTTGCTTACCAGATGGGATGTTATTGGTGGCCACCCACTTCAGAGGTCTGTAGACACAACCCCTCCCTGCGATGAGTTCAAACCAGCCAGCCTTACACGAACACTTTGGAACATGGTTAGCTGTGCTACATTCAGCATTTCGTCCGCACCTGAACCCTCCAGAACTGCAGGCGGGCTCACAGGTGTGCCTGCTCAAATTACAGACTTCATGTGGTTCGCAAGTCGAGTGACTTCTGCAGCCTGTACAATTAGACGGTGTGAACTGAGGGCACGGCTGCTTGGCACATAAGAAGGTTTGTTCAGTAAGGCCCGTGGGCGTTGTCCAGCCAGAATGACAAGATGCTGTGCAGTTTATTGTTGTTGTTGTTCCACTACTGCTTGTTTCACATGTGACTCTCCCATTCGTGGGATGGATATAGCAAACAGGCGGAACGCTCCAAGAATTCTTGTTGCACGTGACAGATTCTGGAAAGGGTTTGTAAGAGTTCTCACAAGTCACTGTCACTTTCAGAGAGCTCCTGCTGTGGTGGGCTGAGGTACAAAATCTGTTGGAAAGCAAGTTTGCTCCAAGAGGACCACAGCCATTGGAGTTGTACAGCCTCCACTGTGTGGAGACCCAGTCGGTGAATTCGTTCTTTTCTTGTGGAAGTTTATGAGACTGCTCTGTGAGTATTAAGTATTTTAACCATGCCAAATAGAATTGTTCCTGAAAAGCAAACATGTACTTCAAGAAGAAGTCAATTTTCTGGCTATAACCTTCACTGCAAGGTTCATCTTTCAGGGTGTTTCGATAAGAATCTAAGATATTGTTGGTATCCAAAAGACTGGTGCCTGTCATCATTTTATGATAGGTATCTGAAAGATACTTGTATGACGTGGACTGTAAATGTTTACTAAGTTCTACTTTATAGTCATATTCATTAATCTTTCCTTCTTCCAATTCTTGATAACAATTATTCATAAACTGGAGTTTCAAGATAATATTGCTGTACTTGGAAACAACAATCCCCCACTCAATGTGAGACTGCATGATGAGGGCCAAACTGTTTGTGAAATTTTTCAAATCCTGGATGCTAAAGAATATGGAAGTCATGTCTGGAACTGGATAGATGACAAAGTTATCTGTATCCTTTTTAATGGTTTCCCAGTTAAAGTCATCCAGGATATTGTTTTTGCAAGTCAGACCATAGTAATTATTAGTGCACATGCAAATGTCTCCTGCTGTGTCAGGAATGGGCTTGCATTTCCCGTTAATACATACAGGTCTCCTGCAAGGAGGGTTTTCTACTTCATCTCTGCCCTTTAAAACAAACCCTAAATGGACACTGACACTGAAAATGTTTGTTAGAATGTTAGAATGTTTTAACGTTGCACTGTTTTCTGTTTGTTGGTAATCTTTGACATTACACACTGCATAAAACCCTGCAATATTATTCATTTCTTCATTGTTAAATGTATTCATGATTTCAAAATAATGATTCTTGATCCATGGGAAGTCCATCCATGCCTTTTGTTCTATCTTGTTCTTAATTTGTGTTTTCATTTGCTCGTTAACTTTAGCTCCCTTCTCCCGGTGGAAGACGATCACATCACCTTTGTTTTGAACGTTTCTGAGTACAACAGTTGGCCTGTATTGGGTGTGAAACTCTGTTTGGTCATGCACAATAACAATCCATTCGTACCAGTCAAACTTTTTGTTTAGGTGGCTCTGAATCTGAGAAGCCATGTCCTTGTTGCTTGTCCACTTTTCCAAAGCAATCTCTCGAACATCTGCTTGTGCTTGCTCAGCAAAATTAAACACACAGTCCTCAGCTGCTTCTTGCACAGCACGAATCACGTCAGAGAACTTTTCCACAACTTCCTTGGACTTGGCGACACCATCATATCCTTTCAAACCACTGTAATAGAGCTGGAGTTGGAAGCCTTTAATCATCAGGGATGTAAAATAAGATGAAAAGTTCAGTATAGTCTTCAAATCCCTTTTAAATTTCTGATTAACCAACTTCAATATGTTTTCGGTGAGAGATAAATGCTTGTGTGTAAGATACCGATAGAAATTTTCAATACTGTTGGCTGTAGCAGAATGTTCAAAAAAGGCTGTAAATTTTTCTGCTAGCTTCAACTTCCCCTGCTGTGTTTCAGCTGTCAACACTGCTTTTCTAAATGCTTCAAATTCCTTCCATGCATTCTCAATAGTGTTTTCATCTCTAGCATAAACACTAGCATATGCATTCCACTTCACATCCCTTTTCAATTCACCGATATTGTGCGCAATGGAATCCAGTTTCCTGTTCACCTCTGTAAATTGCTCTTTCATAAGCTCCATAACTGGGTCATGCGTAGGCAGGAAGGCAAAAATGACACTGAGCAAAGCTCCAACAACGCTGAATGCAGACAGCACTTTTGTTATTGCTTCAGTGCATTTCATAATCTTTGAAAGGGCTTTCCCTGCAGAATTTCTCACTTCATTTAAAACCTTTCTGTGTGAGCTGGGTTCGTGTAGCAGTTTGACTGCTTGGTCCACACCTTTCTGTGCATCTTGAGCATAATCAGCCCATGTTTTAACTGCATCAATGACTTCCTTCACTGCATCCAACGAGCTTTCCACCTGCTTCACAGTGTCTTCTGTAAGTTCAGCACTGGAGAAGCTTCCATAGCCAATTAGGTAAACAAATACAATTCCCCATTTCTGGGAGGTCATCGTGGAATCTGGAAAAAAATCACAGTCATTTCTATGTCTGGTTCGGTTTTGCTTTTCCATATTTAAACACTTGAATTGTATACATGTACTTCACTTTTATTTCTAAGGAACTTTTGTTAAAATGCATTGGGAAAGTGTTAATGTATGGTAGCTTATACACATAATGTTTTTTATTTGCTTCCTGCTTGTCACCTGGTAACCAAGGTGGTGGCACAGTCACAGTTTGGTAGTTACTTCCCCACCACCAGCTGCAGGCCTCGTGTCCTGTGCCATCCTGGGAAAGCTTCTGGAAACCCACCCATGGTGTTTTCCATTTTTTTTAGAAAATAAACCTGTAAATAAGGAATCGCATAAGAGTTCATTCTCAGTGCGCCTGTGACAGCAGATCGACACCAGTGAAGCCACCAGCTCCCGTTACCACGACCAGGCAGCTTAGGGACTCCTGACATAGACGTCGTCAGGAAGTTGTCCAGCGGATTTATGGGATGTGTAGTTCTGCTAAAATTATATTATTTCCAACAACTTTAGAACACCGAACTCTGTAGTTTCTCCACAACTTGCTAATGATTAATTTAGCATCTTAATTGTGCCTGAACAGCTCTTAATACAGGATGATGTGATGTGGAACAGTCATGGGCAGGACTGGACCTGTATTATACACGCTCACAGCGAATCAGTGCTTTTCATTCTGCTGGAGTCCATTTGGCATAAATGAGTGCAGTCCTGAAACTCAGATTTGTACAGGACTCATAAAGATGACAGATCTCGGTCAGTTTTTTGAAAAGATGAAAGCAAAAGGACTTGAATAAAGTGCTTACTGTATGTACGCTAGCGGGCTAATCAGTTCCCTAATCAGTTTTTGGGATTTGTTCTAGGGAGAAAACTGTGGACTTTGTTGACTGAAGGCTGGTAATGTGTTTTACATATGGCAATCATTTTTATCAAATGTTTAATGCACATCCAGAATTCATAAAATTTAGACTGATAAACTAACTAACATGTGGAAAATGACATGCAGTAAAACTGCCATGTAGTTTCATGTTTGCAGGCAAATTTTATATCTACATACCTCCTGAAGAGTGGTCACCTGCTGATTTCACTGTTGAGTCTGAATGTTCATTGGATTGACTTTGAAAGTGCCATTGAATACTTGAAGAAGGTCACATTGTAGCCTTCTCTTATCAAAACATAGGATTCTATTCGTTCAACTTGTAAGTGTAGGGCATCTGTGTGAGCCCATACTGTCTAATCTGTTTGCTCTTCTGTGAACTGATTCTAGATCAGCTCTCTCACTTTTGATTGAGAGACCAACAAAAAGTGCACAGTATTCTAAACAAATGCTTACCAGTTTATATATTTATCATAACATTGCTTGATTTAGATTCTGCACCTTTAATCTATAAGAGTAAGAATAACAGTCTAATATTGTTTTTTTAATGCTTCCCCACTTTGTCATTCTCAGTCATGAAAAAATGTGAAGCTATTCTTAAAGCCCTAGCTATCATGTCAAACCCACACATGGAGAGGTGTTGTACCAACAGACCGGAAAAGTGCAACTGTAACACCACCTGATTCAAAAGTGGACAGTACTGAGCCAGGAATCCATAACCCAATTAGCCATACCCCTGTTATCAGCTAAGCTACAGTATGTACTGTATTTTAAAGATAAATAGGAATACTTCAAAAACAAGGGCGTTTTAAGTGCCCTTTCACAGACGTCTGCTCTTTATTGTGCATAACTCCTAACTGACATAGAACAGCAAAATTCCGCCAAGGCCCCTATGTGCCATAAAGCGGTAACCCCCAAACCCAAAGTGCAACAGCGCCGTAAACCCCAAACAGACGCTGTGTGCGACATAACAATTTTGAATTATGAAAGGGAATATCATGCTGGAAATCCTCAAACAAGGAACGAGGTGCAGAGATGATACTGTATATTGTGTTGTGATAAGGATCTTCATAAATGTTTGATTCTCAAGTCTAATGTCATTGCAAATGTAACACAACATGTCATAAGAAGGGGCATGACTTTTAATTGCTCTGACGCAATATGTGTTGTTCTGCTGGGTTCATTCTGGGACAATTTCTTTTCACAATCTACAGTATAATAGATTCTGAAATAGTTGTTATACTTAAAATTGTAAATGTTACAAAGATAGTAGAAAGGGAATTACAAAGATTATTATTACAATCTTTCTTGTTTTTTGAGTCTTTGGTTTATTTTTTGTTTATATTGAGTATTTTTAGTTTTATTGTATAAATTTAGCTATTCTGTACTCCAATTTCACCTCCAGAGGCACACGTTAACAACTCATTACATTAAAAACAACACATTTGCTCAAAAATAAAAAAATAAATTCTCAGTGATGTGTAGGTGAAGTATACAAAATGCAGTTTTAAAACATCCTAAATAGCTACTACTAAAACACATTAAATTGGTATACAGCAATTATATCATGCTGACACATACACTGTATTTACTTTTTATTTTATAAAAATAATCTACATTGTTATGTAAAAAATAATACTGATTTATAAAACAGACACTCACCTCATGTGACAGAATCTCAGTAATCACACTGAGGAGACTACCAGCCTCATTGTTATATCAACATAGGAGTCTGAACACACCCAGTCTCTCCTGTCCTATCACTCCCTATTTTATTGTCAAATATTTGCTCTTTTTTCAATGAAGTTTCTTGTTTTTAATGCTTTTATTATTTTATTGTAGCGTGTCTCAACTTCTCAGTTCCCCTTAACACCTGGATGTTATGTTGTTCTCTGCTGAACGCAATGGAAAAAATGATATTTTCTATTAAAAGGATCTGTTGCATGAAATAGAAACTATATTAATCCTGTAACAATTATGATGACATAGTGTGAAATGTATGGGCTGCACCTCTGATCTAATAAAGAATAAACAGCCACTAATAAGACACATTTAGTACCTGTATGGCCTCTTAAATCTTCTCATTCACTTTCAGTAAAACGAGTTCCGTTCTTTGTCTCAGGATCCACTGTCTCTTGTCTTCTTGACTTTAAATGCTGTCGTGGATTATTCTCAAAAATAATTCTCAGACACCGGAGCTTGTGAGTTCAGGATAGCCTTTTTTACAAATGTAACAAGTCGAGTTGCTCCATGGAGCAACTGCCTGTCCCAACTCAGAAGTTTTCTTTTATACAATTTCATTCTTATATAACGCATACAGTTACTCCCTCTTGGCCTTGTGCCCTTGTAGTGTTTTCTGAGCTGCACTCTTTTATCATCTCCATTACCACTTCCACAATCTGTCCTCATGCACTTAGAACACCTTAGATTTATGCATTTAAAATAGAAAATGCACATCTAAACCACCTATAGCTAATTTATTAATATCCACCACTTGTATTCCCTATTATTATGTTATTAAGTCCTGAAGGAAAAGTCTGAATGAGATCTGCAGAACAGTTAGCTACTAACTACTAACCAAGCTAGATGGAACAAAGGGTTTATTCTTATTCACAGCCTTTATCTTCTGAATTTAATAATTTAAATGTCAATAAAAAGATGCATATCAGTTTTGAAAAGCGTTTTGAATAGTACAACAATCCTACACTTCATGTTGTGTTTTGATCCTGGTATTCATGCGCATTATTAAAAGCTGCATGCCCAGCAGCAGTTTTCTGTCTGTGAGTACAGAGAGTAAATGGTGACGGTGACAAACATAGAAACAAACAAGGGAAGTACACAAAGATACACTTGACAGATCAAATTTAATTAATCTAAACAGGTAGAAGGAACATCCATGAAACAATACATATTGCATGAATGACTTACAGATAGATGTGCAGGAAACTACATGTGAAAAGGACCTGACTGTTTATATGGATTCTTCTATATCTTCATCAAGACTATGTGGAGAATTAATAAAGATAACCAGAATACAGGGGTGTGTGCAAAAAAAATATGGACTTTAAATCCAGACAAATGATTCTCAATCTTTAGTGTGTATTCGTAAGTTTTGTTCTCAGGTCACCATATTACAAATAGTATATTACACCTTCAGAAAAAGCTTTCACTCATTCTTTTTTGAAAAGCAATTTCCTGGGCATAGATAATAGCTTATATAAATTTGAATTTAAGACTTTGGACTCCAGTGGTGAGTAGTTTTACAGATAATGTGTTAGATGTTATTTTGCCCTTGAAGGCTACACACCTGAAAGTTGTCCAAACTCAACACAGAGCAAATTCTCTGGAATTGTCCCAGACACTTTATCTTTTGGTATTAACAGAACAAATATATTGTGTCAATAAAGGGCAGATGTGTTTTCTAGATAATGATACTGAGACACACCTGAAAGGTACTGTACATGTTGTTTTAAGGAGGAGTATTTTACTATGACACTGTGTATGGCGATGTACTGTATGTCCAAAATAGGTTAGTTACAGTACGTCACATGTGCTATTCTCCTCAAGTACATACAGTACAGGATTGACTGGGATTTAAGCATCCAGCCTAAACCATTTGTCTCACAAGCTTGTAGTCTCTGCAAACTATGTTTTCAATCTGTAAAATTGTGGGAAAATGTTAAAAAAACTGATTTTGTGCAATTACATCTCCTGCTGTCTTAATGTCACTGAAACAGGCATAGTCCTCACTGGTGGCATCACTGTGTGTTACTGTACACCAAAGCTACCATGCATGACAGAGATGCACTACAAAGGGTTGTGGCAACAGCACAGAGGATTATAGGATATGATGAACCATCACATGGTGAGATTCACACCATCGACAGTCGCAATAAAGCCCAATCCATCATTAAGGATCCCAACCATCCCTGCCACAAACTGTCCTCCCCCCTGCGCTCTGGCAAGCGGTGCCGCACTGTTAAAGCAAGGACCGCTAGACTCAAGAACAGCTTCTATCCCACTGCAGTGCGCGTCCTCAGCAGCCAACTGCACTGTGACTCAGACTCAATACACCTCCGCACTCCACACTTTTTGCATGGTCTACCATGTTTTTTTTCCTACTATATATTGTCCCACAACATATTTATTGATCTTATTGTTATGATTTATAAAGTTTGTAATGTACTGTCTACATTGTGTGGTGCTGTCTGTTGTACTGTGTATTTCCCGAGAGATCAGCACGATTAAGAATTCCAATGTACGAGTACATATGGCAATAAACTACTCTACTCACCCTTTTCATTTTCATTTGGACAATCAGCAAGAAGAGATCAGCGAGAAAACTGTAATCAGAAAACTGTAAGGACCACAAGCAGCATGTTATATGCCGGATCCTACCAGATTATCCCCTTCTGTAGCTTGCCGTTCACTTTTATGTCAGAACTCTTCCAGGCTCTTAGCTCTCACCTCTTGCTCCCATGCAGGAATATGAGGCAAAAACACAAAATGCCACCTTTTATTTTGGGGTCTTGATGTGTATATATGCTTTAATGTTTTAGAATAACACTACTTTTTGTGTTCGATCCTCCCATTTTAGTTGAGCATAAGTATTGTAACAACTGGCTGCCAGGTGTTTCTTACTGGTTAGGTGTATCCTGTTGTATTGGTTGTGCACGCATAAGAGAGCCGTGAATGGGTAGTGTAAGATCTAGCCTTTGCTCTTCCCTCTGGTGTCTTCCTTGAAATCAATGGGAGTAAACCCATATGAAAACTAGGGAGCTGTCTTTGAAAGAAAAGCAAGCAGTGCTTTGCAAAGCAAGCAAGCGCTGAAAGGAAAGAAGACTTCAAGCAGAGCATAGCACAGAAACTGGGCATAGCAAGATCAACGATCTGGAATATCTTGAAAAAGAAAAGAAATCACAGGTGTTCACGTTGCTGGAGCTGATCACCTCTGGCAGTCAGGAGCTCAGGGTCAGAGAGCTAAATAAGCTGTGAATCAGGCCTCTGTACAGGTGTTAAGTCCATTTAGGGCTTGATTAGTGGATGGGCTGCCTGATTGTAAATAAAGGATTCTGTACAGTGCCTTCTTTGTGAATTATTTTGTTAATTTCTCCATGAACATTTTATAGCCTGAGTGTTTTAGTGTAAAAAAGTAAGATTTCTATTGTAGGATATAATCTCATATATTATAGGAATGCATCCTTTGATAAAAACAATATGAGTAACATTTTCATTGTACGAAAATATTTACAGACAGCAGGACTTAGATGTCCCAGCAGGCCTGTGCTTATGTTAAATGCAATTTACTTTAAATGAAAGCTTATTTTTTAGGTTGTCAGATGATTGTTAGAATAATGATTTAGTTACAGTGACTTAAATGAAAAAAATGCATGATGATAAACGTGGTTCTTTCTGTCATTCACACAAAGGAAATGTTTGCAGAGTACCTTGAAAAGATCCCATTTTTTAACAGTACCCAATTAATTCTTCAGTTTAATTTCTTTTGACGTGACTTATAATCCCACTAGGCCAGAAGCCCAGATTCAGAGTTTGTAGATTTTTCAATGTTCTGTAAATGGTTAAATCATTTATAGTTTGTAAACTTTGATGTATTTGTCTTAGGGGTGAATGTCTGTTGAGCCTTTGTTTATGAAGTTTAAACATTTTCTTTTATTGACACTAAATCCAGATATTCCAAGTTTACAACTCATTCCACATATCAAATAAACTATTTTGTGGTCACAATTTCCTGGTACCTCTAGCACATCTGTGCCCTTACTGTATATCCTTATATCCTGGTTATTTGAAAAAGTACAGTAGGTCAATAACAGCATCTCTTCCAGCTAGTGCCTTTTCATATTGGAATAAGAATCCACCTTTAACTTTTGCATCCATATTCATTTTAGCTTTTTTATTCACCAATCGTAATACCCCAATTTTCCCTACCGTCTATCTTCTAACCCATCCAATACAGAGTCGTGAGGGAGCTGGAGCCTATCCCAGCAAGTAACGAGAGCAAGGCAGGGTACACCCTGAATGGGGCAGACACAGACACAAACACATCACAACAGCGCCAATTTTCCCAGAAGCCAATTAACCTGCAAGCATGTCGTTGGACTATGGAAGGAAACCAGAGCACCTGGAGGAAGTCCATATGAACACTAGGAGAGTATTCAAACTCCACACAGACGGCACCCCAGTAATTAAGCTCAGGGCCCCAGCTCTGCGAGGCAGCAATGCTGACCACTGCGCCACCATGCCTCTCACCCCATGTTTTGTGTGATAACTTTTGTAAGATAAAGCTGAAACCTTCCATTTCGTGTCACTTAGACTACAGTACATTCTGGACCTTCCTGAACTTACAGTACATTAAGCTTCGGCCCATGTTTGCATTAAGTAGTCTGCTTGAACTGCTTTGTGCTTCAGTTCTTGAGCTTGTACTGTAGGTTATTCCACAACGCCATCCATTCCTTTCTTCCTGTCTTTCTAGAAAAATGTGGACTGAATAACTTTCTTCTCATCCTCCCCTCATAATATATTCACACACTTGATATTGCAGTAGTCTTCACGTCTTGAATTTTGTTTGTTAAACTTGTAACATTGAGCAATTAGCATGTTGGACGGATGTGTTTGTTATGAAACCCAAGAGGAAGTTGGGTGGTGGTAACCAGACCACCATGACTATTTACTGTAACATGACTATTTGTGTTGTGATGTGGGCTGGGTGGACAGTGCAGCTTTCCCAGTCTGCAGACAGTTTCTCCCCAGTTTCGACTGAACCAGATCTGAGGTAGGTTTGTTTTCTATGCTCTTGCACTTATTTAGTTACCGTTAGTGAGAGAGAAAGGAAACCCAGATTCTGAAATCACTTGTCCAGTTTTATTAAAATTCCAGCTTACCACCAGAAAAGCTTAACAGAATTATTTCTGTCTTGGCATGTTAGCTCAGAAGACTATGCGTTACCCTGTAAGTACATTTAGTTCTTATTTATATTGCAAACCCCTCTCCTTTCCCGGTTCACCTCGTGGAGAGAAATGGCTTATGATTCTCTGATTGCTCTGCAGCAGGGCTCCAGTCATTTAAACCCTTCATCCCAGAGGGGGGTCACTGTACAAATGGCTTTTCAAGACCTTAGGTTAAGCAGTAAGGAAGACATCAGCACCAAAACGCTGAGATACTGTACTTGAGAGACCATGTTTCCTAGAAACTTTAAATACCTTCACCTACAGTATGTATCCGCTATCTCACATGAATTGAGAGACTTTGCTCTTCTGTAGTCTTCCACATCCATAAGATCAAGCGTTTTGATGATCTGTAATTGTAAAAATGTGTCTCCTGTTAAGTGTCTTCAAACTTGCTTGCAGCTCTATCTCCTGAATGTCACTGATTCTGACCTCAAACAAGTTACCCTGCAAAAAAATACTTAAAAGAACGGTTTCACTTTGTGTGAGTGGACATACTGTATGCCAGAGGAAAAAAAAAACAGCTGCTGGTTTTCCAGCTCATCCTGTGATGATGTCTTCAATATCAAGATTTCCCAGCAGTCAAGTCCCAGAGCTGCCAACACCAGTATACTGGAAGTCTTTTAAAAGTTTTAAAAGAGTTAATTCACCACAGGCTGGGATGAAGGTATGTTCAGTACAGCTTATTCTGCTGGAAACAACGTGTCCCCCAACAGCATTAGTTTCTTTCCAATCTGCTCAGACCAGTACTGGTTTCCTGCAGCTCTGTGGAGAAGTCTGATTTGTGTTCAGGAGGCGTCCACTGGTCTCTGCACCTTTCTGCAGTTAAGTGCATTGCGCAAGCAGTCGCAGACAGAGAGTTAACAATCTTTAAAGCTGCCGGTCGGCCTGGGCACTGTAGACAGACCCACCTGCTAGGTCACCAGCTGAGTCACAGTCCCCTGGGTGAAAATACTGTACAGGATCACTGGACCAAGTGACACACAGGAAGACAGATGGACCAAACACTACAGTGGTATTAGCATGGATACAAGAATTTCCTTTCGTACTATCAGGGATTTTACTTCCCTGCACCCAAGCAAATAAAATCCCAAAAACCTGAAACTAACCACTGTACTGATCCTATCCTGAAATACCAGCTCCCTTGAAAATATCCAATCCATCACACTCTTCAGCATTATTCCTGCAATTGCTTGTTCATTTATGCTGGTTCGATAGGCAGGTTTTCTTGGCATTTTCTTCCAATATTAACACTGTTTCAGATATCATCAAGGGGGACTTCTTAGCAATTTAACTGTTAACGTAATAATTCAAGCAGTTGAGTACTGTATATTCCAGGAGTCACAGGTTCAACTCTGAATTGTCATTAACGGATTGTAACCAGGATTCCCCATGCTGTGACTCAGTGACCACCAGTATTGAATGGGCTTGAGTTAGCTAGGATCTGCTCATCCTGGAACCCCCGTGGATGTGACCAGGTGTCTATAAGCTTGGAGTGTTTATCCATTTGACACTGGCGTCTCTGTAGGTGCTGTGAGGCTCAAAGAGGGTATAGAGCTGAAGGGCTCAAAAGATATGTGCAGTGTCTTCAAAATTTGCAGCAATAAGCCCAGTAGATCAACAAATAGCTATTTAAATATTGACTTTAGGGTTAAGAAGAAAAAAATAGTGATTCCAAAAAACATAAATAGAGAGACTGTTTGACTATAATCATCAGTGCAAAAGCTCAATTAGCTCAAAGGAAAGAGAATAACCTCCTACAGACACAGCTCTGAGAAGGACATCAATAGTCTTCCTGTTTTCCCTGTTCCTGTTGTCCCCTATGCTTCTAAACATTGCAGGGAGCACATGATCAGTCCAATACGTTTGATTTGGAACAGCATCCAGTTCTGTCCAGTGGAAAAGTCCTAAAACAACACCCATGCAGTGTGGCTTTCTAGGGCAATGGAGTCTCCATGAAGAAGCAGCCAGGCAATGTCTGTTCACATCGCTTTTGCTCTCTTGCTCTCAGGGCAGTTCTGTCCACTTCAGAGATGCCCATTGAGTTTCTGGACTTCACAGGCTACACTGCAGGAGGGGGCTGCACTGTGCTGGGGTGTGAGTTCCGCACTGGAGGAGGAGGTGCACGTCTGTGGGAAAGAGCGAGACTGAGAATGAGGGAGGGAATTCCTCACAACTCCCTTACAAGAGTGTAAAAACCAGACTCACCTTGCAGGCACAACTGCTACATGCAGCCCGTAGCTAGGAACTGATGAGACACTCGGCCCGTGTTGCAGGGGGACTCCAGACACAGGGCGCGAGGGGGGGTCAGCAGGCAATGGTTTCTGGGGAGGAGGCGGCTTGGCAGGTGCACAAGTCTGGAAAGTGAAAGAACAATTGCTCAGAAAGCAGAGACAAGGAAAGCAGGGGAAATACAATTAACAATCTTCTTCCAAATCTTAACTATCATTCTCTGGTCCTTTGCTGTACTGCAGGACAACAGCCTTTCCAGATCACCACAAGACCCTAGCCACCTCCTTTAGTCAAATGATGGTCACTAACTGCAAAGGAACCGTGTCACAATGAACGCATACACTTTGATATTGCTGCTACTGTCAGCCTGTAACTTAAAATGAATCAGCTTGCCAGAGCATCTGAACTATCACTTTCTTATTGAATGAGCATGTTTCTGAAAGGGGGAGAAGGTCACATGACCAGGTGTCCTGTATTGTAGCCAGGCACTAAGGCTTGTCACTGTACTTTCAGTGGATTTTTCTTGTAGAGTCTCTGAACTCATCCCATTCCCTCTACGAAATACAATAACCTAAACCTCAGATTGCTTCAGACTGCAAAATCCATAATAACACTCTGTTTTTTGTAAGTGCAATGGAAGCTTCCAGAACTATACAGAGGCCTATTTCAGGGATGAAGCCTTCCTGTTTCCTTTTGGTATAAAAGCAGGTGGCTCAGGAAGCCATTCTGTAATAGTAGTGTGAATTATCACAGTTAAGCTCAGAGAGCTCTCCAAAGACTGCAAGCACGTGGTCATTGACCTCAAAAAGTTGGGGAATGACTTTAAAAGACATCACAAAAAGCTGAACACACCACTTCTCACTGTGGTGTTCATTATATATCTGATATTATCCAAGCATATGTTCTGTTTTTGTATGAATAATTTTGGAAGGCCCTTCATGTAGATACAGTATATGAAGTGTCAAAGACTTCTGAAAAAAATGTGGTTCTCTGGCCAGTGGATGTAAATCACCTCCAGAATTTTTTTACCCTCTGAGCTCTTTTTTTTCCTGTGGTCCACAATGCAGAGATAATACTCATGTTGCTCTCAGTTGCACCACACCAATGGTGTGACTATTTCTACAGATTTGTTTTAACTGAGTCACCATCTGTCCATTACTTTAAATCTGGATTGCTCTGTTCACATAGCGTTTACCACTGCTCATTGCCTTTCACTTTAGGGTGTAAAAATGACTCCTAAAAGCTGTGATTTTTCTCATGTTCAGTCCCAGACTCACCTGTGAGTAATTCCCTGTTTCCAATAGATGTCAGATATGGTTATAACACAATGGGTCTCACCTTTACATCTTGGAAAGTTTTAATATTATTTATTAGGAGCTTTTGACTACTGGGATCCATGTGTGTGGGAGGGGGCAGATGGTGGAGGCTTGTTGCTCCTTCTGTTAAAGCCTGTTGTGTGGCGCCATTCCTCCTGTTTGACCGGATTTCAGGGGTCTTCATGTAGACATTAATGTAAGAATAATACTATGTGGGTTCTTGTGGAGGGGGAATGGTTATTTTACTTTACCATCTCTGTGGCAGGCAATGAATAGCAGGACAAAATACATACCAGATACAGAAATGCTGACACAATTGTGCATTGATGTCTGTTACTCCATTCACCACTTTTTCTTTGCAGAAATGCCAACAACAAGCACAAAATTCTTATTTTCTTAAAATTACTATTAACTCCAAATCCTGTCAATCTCCAGAGGGAATGTACCTTAATATGATGATTTCGATTAGCTACTTCCTAAGCTTCACTGTATACAGTCAAATCTGACGGATGTGTATTGACTCCGACTCCAGTAGTTTCTGAACACCCTGATTCTGCAACGGTATGAGCCCATCAGAGCAGCTCAGTATTCTCCCAGCAGCAGGAGACCTGACAGACCAGGAGTTCATGGGAAGGGAACAGGACACTGTGTAACACGTGAGATTCTGTTTCTCCATGCCGGGATTCGATCCTGGTCACTCATGGGCTCGGAGCAAGAGCAGCACCACTTCATAGACAGTGGTTTAGACTGTCTAGCTTCCAGAGGGGGTTACATCACTTCTGAGTATTGAGCAAGTTTCAGGTGTGTTGTGGACAGTTAGACAGGGCTGAACACTAAAAGACACTTGCTTCATTTTAGTATTTTCCATGCTCCTATAGTATAAATAAGAATAAAGGGCATTACAAATTCTAATATTGTCAAGGCCATTGTCATTGACCAATCTAAAGACGTATTAGAGCTCACACAGCCCTCCTCTCTTCCTCCTCCCCACAACCCCACCCCAGGCTCAAGAGGTACCTGGCCATCTTTGAGGACTGGGTCAGGGGGCAGTGGCTTGTTTGGAGGCGCCGGACGCTGTGCCGCTGGCTAGAACACCAGACCAGGGACAGAGAGAGAACAATCAGAGAGCGGAGAGGGTGGAACAGCCAATCACAGAGAACAGAGAGGGGCAGCCAATCAGAGCCACAGGAGAGAGAGGCACAACCGTGAAACACCAATCAGAGTGAACCACGGAGAAAGAGCCAATCAGATGAGAAGTCTCATTTCCCACTCCTCCACAGAGTCCTGTTGCTCCCAATAGTATAATTTAGAGATGAAAATATTTACAGCCTCCTGATCCTTTAGACTCAGCACTCCCCAGCTCTACTAGCAGTCAGAAATGGAGCCACGTACAGGCAGATGGGCCTGTCCTACCCCTGTAAAGCCTAAAAAGAGCCATTGGAAACACAGAAAGGGCTGTATGCTGAAACTCCTAGAAGAATCCAGGTTTGCACAAGCAAGCTTGCTTGTTTACAGAGGAGCTGAAACAAGAAACAGGAGAATGGTGTGCCTCTCATGTTACAGTCCTGTAACACACTGATCACAGACTGATCGTCCAGGCAGCCTCAGTGCGGTGATCTTTACGCCGTGGACACCTGATCAGGAGTAATCACTTGTGCCTGAGTGCAGGTCAGGGACCTGTTGAGAAAACCCCACACAGGGGGCAACAGATGTGGCTGCCTTGTGCGAAAGAAATTTATAATTACTGAAGAGCGCTTTAAAAGAAAAACAGGCGATTCCGATAGTTACGGTAGTCTGTTCTACTCCAAAACGCTTTCCCTGGGTAAAAAAAAAACTGTTTTCGTTTACATACAGCCCCCCCCCGGATCCCTGCGATACCTGTCCATCGGTGGGGACAGGGTCAGGGGGCAGCGGCTTGTTCGGAGGGGGTGGACGGTGCCCTGCTGACTGGAAGACCAGACCAGAGACAAGAGAGAGAACAGCCAATCAGAGTGACCAGCGACAGAAGAACAGCCAATCAGAGTGACTGGCGAAAGAAGAACAGCCAATCAGACCAGGCGCCTCTCTCCTCCTCCAAGACGCCCACAGTAAGAGCAGCTGTATCTTTACCCTTCTTTACACTCAGCATCTCCTCTGGAGTGCTTCCTTGTGCACAGTGTGCACACAGCCATACACGAGCATGAAGCGGAACCTGTCTTACCCTTCTCTCACAGAGCCACAGATGAGCACAGAGCTTAACTGCTTACCATTCTCTAATACCGATTAGCTAGCCAGGATATGCACATTAAGTGACCATCTGGACTAAAAATCCACAGAAAGCGCTGAGACAAGACAGAATCTTAAAGCAGTCCTCAAACTGAAAATTAGTAATGTTACTTAGTAATGAACACTTCGTGTTAATAAGGTGGGACAGATTTTTGCTAAACTGGTACTATTGTCAAATTATGGTATGTGACTACTGTGTGCAGCGAATGAGTGCCACTGGTATCATGCCTACAGGCTGATCTGACCTGGGAGAGTCAGACAGTGTGAATTAGGAACAGACAATATTAACTCAAAACAAATGTTACAGATCCCTTGCTGACAGAATTACAGTAGTCTTTAAAATAAGGCAAGGATCACCACACACTGTAGACATATAAGATACCGTGGGACTGTAGATACTGTATGTTACAGCTTGTTGGAGTGCAGTTCACATCCTTGTGAACACACACATGATTTATAGTTTTCCGCTGTTACTGACTCCAGGAGTGATACCTGTGACCACAGGAGTCACTGTTTTGTAGAACAATGAGATTCCTGGCAGGCCAGCTAGGACCCTGGAGGTGGCACTTTTGCACACTCTGCCGCCAGCGGAATTACCCATCAGCCCCGTGACAGGACCCAGGCACAAACATCTGACGTTCCCATCACTGGGAGCGAGAGCCTTTCCTGGTTCGAGCACTTGGGAGAAGCAGCTGAACAAAAGGTCACTTTTAATTGAAAATCAAAGTTTTCCACTCTGAGGGGATTTTTCTGTCGCACATGAAATTGAAGGGACAGCCTGTCAGGGTAATTAATATTTACACACCTGCACCACACAGTGCCATGACATTCAGGAGATAAACAGCAATGAAGGACTGCAAAATCACACACAGACAGACAGACACAAGGCAAAGCAGTGATTTCAGACTGAAACAGCAACCAAGGCCGGCACTCATGAACACAGTGTTGCTGCACACAGAAAAGCCTGAGGCCTTGTCAGCACCCATGTCAACAGAGACTCGTACTGTAGGTCTGTAACCTGTATCCATTATCATAGGCACCCCTCACAACAGCACACACATTCACTTCTGCTAGGTGCTAGTAGCTAGTAGCTAGTAGCAAACAATATAGAAACAGAGGGAAATATGCAAATAACATTATTGCTGGAATCATCCAGGTACTACAACTTTTACAAATGAAACATGAAAGAAAAAACAGGCCACAGCACTATAGAAGTGCAAATTCTCACAGCAGGAACATTGGAAATCCCATGATTGTGCTGACCTCTCCTGAACTCTCCTTTCCTAGGCTAGTAGAATAGCAATATCGCCCCCTGGTGGTCTGGGGCGAGATTACCTGAGCAGGTCTCGGCATCGGGTCAGGTGGGAGGGGCTTATTGGGGGGTGCGGGCCTGCTGAGAACCTGTTAGGAGAGACAGGAAGAGAGAGAAAGAGAGAAAGCAAGGGAAAGAGATGGGCGTGTGAGTCATGCATGAGTTCATGAGCAGGTCAGCATTCAGGTTAGAGAAGAGTCATGTCAAGAAAAGAGGAGATTTTTTGTTCCTTGGAAGTCACTTGCCATTCCCAGTATTCATAGAAACAGCATGCTGTATATAAAAGACTGTTAAAGTAGTTTATGCAGAAAACCCCACAGGTGCTGCCATCTGTGCACACAAGCCCCACAGGTGTTCAGATGGGTCCAAATGGGTTTTCAAACTTAGAGTTTCTGAGGCAGGCAGCCAGCACGTGGGAATGTTGACTTCAGTTCAAGCAAACGAAATTGTTAAGAGTGATTTCCATGCAAAGATAAACCACAGTAGGCACAGTGTTTACATGCAGAAGCCAAGATATTTGAGTGCATTTATTAATAACCCTTACTTAACCAGCACTACCTCCCTCTGCCTTTGATGAATATTATTAAGGAACTATTGTTTAAAAAAATGTTCACAAAAAACTGTCAGCAGCTCATCAGGAGTTCTGATCAGACCAAC